TTGTTCTTATATAATTCTCATGTATGTGAATACGAATCTATCTTCTTTTTTCTCCGCAACCAATCTTCTCATTTGCGATCAACATCTTTTGGAGTCCTTCTTGAGCGAATTTTATTCTATGGAAAAAATAGAACATCTTATAAAAGTCTTTGTTAATGATTTTCAGGACATCTTATGGTTGGTCAAGGATCCTTTCATGCATTATATTAGATATCAAGGAAAATCCATTCTGGCTTCAAAAGATACGCCTCTTCTGATGAATAAATGGAAATATTACTTTGTCAGTTTATGGCAATGTCATTTTTATGTGTGGTCTCAATCACGAAGGGTACGTATAAAACAATTATCCAAAGATTATCTAGACTTTCTGGGCTATTTCTCAAGTTTGCGATTTAATCCGTTAGTGGTACGGACTAACATAATAGAGAACTCATTTGTAATCGATAATGGTATAAAGAAGTTCGATACAAAAATTCCAATTATTCCAATGATTGGATCATTGGCTAAAGCGAGGTTTTGTAATGCATCCCCCCCCCCCCCCCCCTTGCTTCAATAGATTTAGAGGCTGACATTAAGCCTTCTTTTATGAAAAGAAAATGCAGGCGCTAGGCCACTAACCATTACTGGAAAATATACACAGTCAGTCAATATAAGCTAAGAAAGCAATCTCTTTTCCAAGGATATAATACCTAGGTGTGAAATAAACAATCTACTTTACCTGACATGTGCAAACAAACATATAGAACCTGATAGCGGACTATCACGGAATTGCAAAGTATGGTTCAGAAATCATGAAAGCGTTTGTCCTCATCTTTCCTCCGTGCATAACGCGATAATTGTCCCACCCTCTCCTCCAACCTTATCCATGGTCTTCCCTTAGCCTAAACCTTACCGAACCTTTTAACGATTACACATTTTTCAATTTTTTATTAAATCTTTCATTTTTTTCAGCATTGTAGTAAGCCTTCATCTCAAAACCATGAAAATCAAGCCAATAATCATTTTTTTTTTTTTTATCTAGACAAGAACTTGTATGCCACACACTTTAACCTTTAACGTGGAGCCAAACACCTGAAGCCATTGTCTAAGAAGCACAAAGTTGCATATCTCGCAAGGTTCAACAAGTTCTGTGACTTTGGAGTACGGCTTATTCTTTCATTTAATATTCCTACTGCTTCGTCCTCGAATAACAATTCAGAGTTATCCATAAAAAAAGATAAATATTTAAAAGTATTGTCATTTATGTGATGGTAAGGAAGTGTTAGCATGCCTCTAAGATGAGAAAAATATTATCTATGCGTAGATACAACCCATTAACAAATTATTTATACGTTAAGAAAAATGCCTATCAAATCTCCTCTCTACCATTGATAAAAAAATCTAGAGTCGGAAACCATATATATTTAAATTTATCAAAATTAGCCTCTGTGCCCTTAAAAGTTTTCATATTTATTTTTATTCAAGTTTCCCAGAACATGGAAAGGGGATTTGAAATCACCAGAATCTCATCTCTCACAGAACCAACCATCACCCAATTATGTTCCTAGAGTCCACAAGCAGTATTGTTAGATACTACAAGACAATATGATGACAAGATTCCACATCACTCTTAAACAGGAAACAACTATCAACTAAGAGTCTTTCCCTTCTGATCAATTTACTTTGTAATACCCAGATCTGAAATTTGGTTCGGAATCAATTTCAACATTTAAAAAATGTATAAAAATCTATTTTTAAAATTAATAAATTTTAATTTAATGTTAAATTATGGAAAAAAATAGGTTGATGATAAAATTGAAAATAATTTTGAAAAAAAAGGATAAACATTTGGATTTGGATGATGTTTTTGAAAGAAAAATCAGAAACTATAAGTCAGAACGCAATTAAGAAAAATTTTGCCATGTAGAACCGCCCAGTCAACAGTCTCAACGAATCAGAGCGCGCCGTATAGCAAGACACACTGACTTGGTGCCATGCGGGAGTCCACGCTGGCGATCCGCATGCCCCGCAATCAGACGACCCGGAAGCGTTCCCGCACGCAAGAACTGTCCGGATCTGTTCCCTCCTCAGGCGCGATCGGACGGTTGCGATCAAACATAATGAATGACCCAGATTCGTTCATTCTTTAAACGCGATCGGACGGTCGAGACCAAATTGCGATGAACGGTTCAAATTTATTTCTTCTTTAAAGACGATTAGACGGTCGAGATCAAATGTGATGAACGGTCCAGATTAACGCAAGACGGATATAAATATTTCACATCACACTGAACCCAAACCCTAGCCACCAGTCTCCCGCTAGAGAAGAAGAACCAATCACCAGAGAAAAGAGTTGACCGCTGACCATCACCGCGTCGGAGCCACATCCGACCGCCAAAAAAATATAAAAATTCTTCCATCTGCTCAGAATTTAATTCCGATCATTCTCATGGCCAAATCGGAGCAAAAG